TTTTTAGAAGAAACGCTACTACTACTTACGTCTATCAGTAGCGCTAGGAAACCAACGCTACTGCTACCAGTTAGCTGTAGTGCCTTACTGGCTACTAATAGCTCCAAAACCAGCGCTACTACTAGGTTTTTCCCTAGTAGTAAGCCTCTGTTTCAAAGAGATTCCATCTGGAGGCCTTTTTCGGCACCTTGTCGGAAGGGGAAATCATCACTGGAGGCCATCTTCAACATCCCGGCGATATCCATGACGAGGAGGGAGTAGTTCACCCTCAGGGCTGGGGGTATGTACCAGTAGCTATGTGTTTGATCTCTCCCTCTCTCTCTCTCTCTCTCCCGTGTTCTTAATTTGGCATGATCTTGATGTACCATGAGCTTTGTTTAACATAGTTGGATCATATGGTGTTCTTCCCTCTCAATCTTTGTTGTGATGAATTGAGTCTTCCTCTTCGATATTTCGTTATGTTGGATTGAATATTGGATTTGAGATCACTTGATGTATGTCTTGCATGTGGATAGTCGTGGTGACAATGGGGTATTCTATTGAGTCACTTGATATATGTTTTGGTAATTAACCTGCGGATTCCCATGGTGACATAGGGGTAATCTAGGCACATAGGTTGATACAGGTTTTCATCCTACTCTCTCCGATAGAAACTTTGGGGTGATTCTTTGTCGCACGTTGAGGGATTGTTATATGATTCAATTATGTTATCACTGTTGAGAGATTGCACTAGCGAAAGTATGAACCCTAGGCCTTGTTCCTAAGCATTGCAATACTGTTTGTGCTCACTTTTGTTACTTGTTGCCTTGCTGGTTTTGTTATTTTACATTAAAAAAACATATATCTACTATCCATACTACACTTGTATCACCATTTATTCGCCGAACTAGTGCACCTATACAATTTACCATTGTATTGTGTGTGTTGGGGACACGAGAGATTGCTTGTATTTGATTGCAGGATTCTTTGAGAGAGACCGTCTTCATCATACACCTCCCACGGATTGATAAATCTTGAATCATCCACTTGAGGGAAATTTATTGTTGTCCTACAAAACTCTGCACTTGGAGGCCGAGCAGAGTATACGAGAACAAAGTTGCATAGTAGACATCAACCGAGTCTAGAATTCATCTGGATTTGGGATTTATGTGGGTAGGTGAGAGCCACGGTGGGACATGTTGACGTGGCGGGCGCACCCGAGCCTCTCTATATCTGCCTTAAATTTGGGCTAGGTATAGGGTGTGTCGGACAGCCTGGCGTTTGGGACCGGTGTGAGGAGCCCGACTGATTCATTTTTTTACCGGGCCGTCCGACCGGGTGTATAAGTGCGGTTTTGAGGTGCCTGGTTATAGATGCTCCAAATGACCCATAGCAAAACTTAATCCACTCGTTAACCCCTCAAAAACCTATTTTGATATCCGTCCACTTTCATTCATGTCTAACCATCAAACGCTTATAACTTACCTATGAGGGCGTGTGACCCCAAGATGTCTTTGACCCTCGTTGGTCCATAGTCATCGGTCGTGTCGTCAGCGTCACACGTCCTTGTCCAACCTGACGGTCAGGCTTGATACCAGTATTTGTTGAAGCGACAAAACATTAGATGCCTTGCGCAACTTGTTGTGCCTTTGTATTAGGCGTTTTCCATTTACATTTATTGGAACCTCTAACAATTTTTTTGGATGCCTCTATAGTGATATGGATCCGTCAAAGCATTTGTCGCGTCTTGCTTACCAGAGACGCTCGCCTATTTGGCTTGTCATAGCCTCTAGTTGTTCTTGTCAGGGTATCCAATATCATTTTCTAAACTACTCTAGTTGTTTGGCGTGTCACACGAAACTTGTCAAGGCTCGCACATAACATTTTGTAATTGGGGCTAAACGTTTATGATCTTCAATGGTCAAAGTCAAACTCATAGTGTGTACAGTAATTTGAACCATATGTTCTTTAATATCTTTTCCTACACCAATTTCATTTTGTTCTTTAATATCTTTCCCTACAACAATTTCATTTTCCCCTAAAACCCCATGTCTGGCCATCGATCTTCTTCCCCTCTGCATCGACTAGTTAGGATGAAGGCGGCCATTCCATGTTGTCATATGTCTTGTAAGGTATCCGTTGGGCGGCCATTTCCTTCCATCAAGTTTTGCTCTTCCACGTCATCGTCGACTCATGATCTTTGAAGTAGCATTGTCGTTGCCCGCCCTTGGAATCTACCTATAGGTACATGCTCCCTGTGTTATGGGTCAACTCCCCTACAAATCCGTGCAACATACTGTGAACTGTTGTTGTGAATCACATCTCCTTTGCCTGTAGAGATCAATTTTGAACTGTCTCAGTGTGAGCCCCTGTTGTAGTGTGGATGTTTTAGAATATGTCTGAAGTAAGTTTGTACTCTTAATCTGTTGGCATTCGGATAAAAAGGTGACCTAATAATTATTTGTTTGATGTCTTTTGTTGTATAGACCTATGGACAATTATTCTCCGGAACATACCATGGTTAGGGTCACCGAGTTAGATTCGGAGCAGGATTCTTCTGGCTCTGATTTTGCATGGCCTACTCATCACGCCAAGCGTCCTTTTTAATTCACGCCAGAGCCACAATGTGAAAGGCAAATCAAAAAGTGATCAATGCTCCAAGTCTGTTATGTGGAAGCGCAAGAAGGAAGTACGTAAGTAGTTGAAAGGACTTTAGAAACAGATGGTGCACAAGGCAGCTACTGCCGTGAGCATTGTCATGAGCAACAATAAGGTCGCCCACATCTGGTATGACATTTGCACCATCCCAGGAAATCCGGAAAATTTATGTGCTAGATTGAAGTCGATAAGTTCGAATCCACTGATTTAGTTCTACCAAACAAGGTTGGAGCAAGGATGTTCAAAGGTAAAAATGGTACGCACCTCACTATGAACCTGAGGGTTGGTGGAAGCTACATGTGGCATGTGAAGGTGAGGAAGTCAGGCAAAATTGTGTACCCAGACGAAGGTTGGCTTAATTTCGTCAATGGTCATGAGCTGAAGCCAGTATGCACTTCGAGTTGGCCCTTGAGTTTGTGTGGGAAGTAACCATTTTTGACAAGTTGATGGCTGAGGCTGCTATGAAATGTTTGGAATGTGATGAGTGAAGTGATTTATTTCTATGCAGTGTGGTCAAGCTATCTTAGAGTGTGTATTTTGCTTGATCATCTAGTGGAAGTTAAGGTGATCTTGACTATTATGTTAAGTTGTGTGCTACATTTTGATGTTGAAAGTGTTTGGTAGCAATGTATATTTCGATTAGTGGTTCTGACACCCCTCATTGTCTGAAAACATGTATGTTTTGATGTCGGATGTTAGTGTCGGGCATGGCAAGCCCATGTTGTCTATAACTCTGAACTATATATTTTGATCAGGGGTTTCAACCCGCTGATGCAATGATGTGACCTTTTAGTATTGTCGTAATGTACGGAGATGGTGTTTTGGCACATGGGAGCATGTGCTCCTGGTTTTTAAAATGTGTTTTACACATATTTTGAAATGTCAAAAAAAATTCAAACAAAAACTTGACGCGTACATCTTGATATTGTACATGCTCACAAAGTCGTTTCGGGAAAAACCGACAACTTATGCATCGCGTGTGAAAAAGACAAATCCGGTGTTAAAAAATGTTTTTCACATGACATCCTTTTGTCGTTTTTACACAAGCCACATAAGATGTCGGTTTTCTCGAAACTTGACGTGCACATATACAATGTCGAGATCTATGCGCCAAATTTTTGTTTGGAATTTTTTACACTTTAAAATATATTTTCCGCGTGCAGGAGCGCGCGCTCCCGGAAGCACCAACGGATTTCCGCATAATGTACTTGTTAGTATATTGTTTAGGTTTGATGTATGCCATTTTGGTTGTCAGCAAACCAAATATCAAGGTAGTGGGGAGAAACTACCCAACACAGAATAGGATTGCCCTAAATAATACAAAATAAGCCCGTTTTATTTAGTCTTTTTGGTCCAACTCAATACAACATAGGGTTTGTTGTAGTAGCAGATCTTAACCCTACTTGAGGTGCCACCCACTTTCCTACATGGAGTGTCACATCACCCCCATTCCCCACGCGGGTCGAGGTATAGCGACCAAACACGCACCCTGGCCCACAGTAGTGGGCCAGCCATTTCGTTTGTTTTGTGTTTTTTCTCTACTTTCCCCAGTGTGTTTCCTTAATTGATTTTTTTATTTCGTTTGGTTTCCTTTTTCTTCTGTCCTTTTTAAAAAAATTCTACTTTTATGAAAAATTTAGAAATATGGAAACAATTTTCAAATTAGTCCACTGTTCTGAAAAATGAGAACATTTTTTATTCGTGAATGCTTTTAAATTTTGAGAACATTTTTTGACATCCTGTGTTTTTCAAGTTCATGAATATTGTTTGAAATCCGAGAAAAATTCTCAAATTTTTGAACCTTTTTAAACCCACGAACATTTTTCAAATTCATGAACATTTTATGAAATATGGAGCTTTTTCTCAAAGTAGTGAGCATTTTCAAATTCATGATTCTTTTTATTTTTTTATTCATGAACACCTTTTAAAATTTCAAGAGCATTTTTTTCAAAATCTCGAACGTTTTTTCTCAAATTCATGATTTTTTAAAAAAAATTATTCATGAACACCTTTTTAAATTTCAAGAGCATTTTTTCAAAATCTTGAACATTTTTTCTCAAATTCATGATCTTATTTTGAATTCACCGCCGCCACGTGACGCACGGAATAGGAGCTCTAGTATTTATATTTGTTTTGAAAATTGCGGGCTGCGGCACTAGTATTTGTTATTCACCGTGGCTGGTCTAAGTAGCTCCAAATGGCCCATCTAAAACAAGGGATGGGGATCGGGCCAAATTCAACAGAGGCCCATTCCACATTCGCCCCATCGATTTCTTACTCCGAACACAGAAGTTGGCTTCCGCACGCTCCATTACGAAATCCCAACGTCTCTCCGCGGCGCCTCCGTCCCCCTCTCACCTCCGATGGAGCGGCGGCAGTGGAGCCTCTCCGACTTCGACATCGGCAAGTTCATCGGCGAGGGCAAGTTCGGCAAGGTCTATCTCGGCCGCGAGAGGCAGGTAGGCCCTCCAAACCCTATCCCCCAAACCTTCGAGCTTCAGTCCCCCCACCCCCAAAAATTTTCAACTCCGATGAGGCTGACTCGCCGGAGAATCTTGGCGATCCAGAGCGGCTACGTGGTGGCGCTCAAGGTGATATACAAGACGAAGCTGGAGAAGTACCGGTTCCACGGGCACCTGCGGCGGGAGATCGAGATCCAGCACGGCCTCGACCACCCCAACGTGCTCCGCCTCTTCGCCTGGTTCCACGACGCCGAGCGGGTCGTCCTCGTCCTCGAGTACGCCGCCCGCGGGGAGCTCTACAAGCTCCTCCGCAGCGTCGGCCACTTCTCCGAGCGGACCGCCGCCACCGTGAGCCATCCCCACCCTGTCCCTTTCCTGCCGCGTTACTTTTCCCCAGCCGTGTGGCGTTTATTGATTGGATAAGCCCAGTTGTTATTCGCTATCGTTTGTGGAATTAACTGTCTGAAATCTCAAAATCTGCAATGAAGCTGGAATATTCTGAGCTCTGACTGTCACATAGAAGAGCCCACAAAATTCGATAGGGGGCATTTTCTAGCATTTCACTACTGAAGTATTACTTCGATTGAGGTCGTGAGAGGTAGAAAGATCAGTTAAAAGAGTACTGACTAAGCTTAGTATATTCATTAGTAGGTGTTCTGAAACAATCTGTGCTTAGTTATGTTGGTTTCTCATTAACCATTGAAAGTAGTAATCTGTCTGATCGTTAAGAATTTTGGTATGAGCTATTCATTTCCATTGGGTTTAATAGATCTATGTATTTCACCGCAAGATGAAGAACCCAAGAACTCCAGAACATCTATAAAAACACAAGGAAAAGCCTCACCCCTCTTCCATGAATGGGTGTGAAAACAAATGTAGCATTTTCAGTACAGAAAACCCACCTCAGGAGTGACACTTCCAGCTCAGTCTGAGATCTAAACCATCCAACCCAAAGATCCAAACACAATAGAACCATATTTCCTTTGTCTGAACAGTAATCAGTCAAACTGCACTCTGCTTAGCATGACATGTACTGATCTTTTGATATACAGCACATCAGGCTGTTAATCATGGTGGACCTACATTGCTTTCCTACTGACTTATCATTTTTGCGCTGGATTTCTGTTGATCCAATTCATTTTATTTTGCTTTAGTATGTAGCAAGCCTTGCTGGTGCACTGGCATACTGTCACAAGAAGCAGGTAATTCACAGGGACATCAAACCGGAAAATTTGCTCCTTGATATCGAGGTTGGTTCTTCTGCATGCAGTTGCTGCCTCTCTGCCACTGTTATGTGTTATCATACCAAACTGAAACTGCGTATTTTAAGAATTTATATGGGGCAATATTTTGATAACCCAGTAGGTTAAATGCACTTTTTTTTGCCATCCATGTTTGTCAACAACATGGAATCCGACTACATCATTGTTGTAAATTATGCCTGCCTACAGATTAAACAATAGCTGGACCTATGCATTTTGTCCACTAATGAAGCAATATATATGTTTCCAGGAAATGCATGTTGTGCATTGTGATTAGTTACGCAATCTCTTTCTATAGATATGGCCGATATGTGAAAATTACTTGAGATAAAATAAAACAGACAATATATCCCATTTGCCTTGCTGCAAGCATAAACTATCCAGATACCCTTGTAGCCTGAACTTTTATTAAGATATATGTGGAAAATTTAGGAGCTATACATTGTGAATTGAAGCACTATGCATCTCATGTGTTGGGAACTTATGACCGTTGATGATCAGTCCAACTGTAGAGAAATTCTAGGTTATTTTTAAATCGGTTTTATAGAGAGACGAAATAGCAGATAAGCAGTAGCTTACTCTATAACTATTTGTAAGTAAAATAGTGCAGTATAAAATTTGACATCCCAAAGGTATGTAATTCGAATGCAAATTCCAGCAATTTACATGGGCGTCCCATTTCTTTTTGACGTACACGTTTTGCCGGTAAGTACTGTTGGTCATACATGATTTTACCAACTTGCACTTGTGTACTATATATGGCTCCGAACACCTGGTTACTTTATAGATGCATGTCCTGTATAACTTTCTCGAGATTACTGAAGAGATACTTCTGTCGCTGTAGAGACTATCAAATACTGTCAGAGGCCTTATTAGTTGTGCTGTCCACATCCATATGAGTACGAAACCAGTAAAGAACATCATTTGTTGTGCTGTCCACATTGGTATATGTCAGAGCTGATTGCTGTTGACACTTTTAACTCTATGTTTGTGCATAAGTTGCTGAGCCTTTTTTTATAGAAGTCACTCAGCTTCCATTTTACAGGGCCGGCTTAAAATTGCAGATTTTGGATGGGCGGTTCGATCAAATGCTAAACGTCACACACTCTGTGGCACAATAGATTACCTGGCACCGGAGATGGTAGAGAAAAAGGCTCACGATTACGCCGTTGACAACTGGACTTTAGGGATCCTGTGCTACGAGTTTTTGTATGGATCACCACCCTTTGAAGCTGCAGAGCAGCAAGATACCCTGATGAGGTAAGAGGTACAATGTTTGTGTAGCTACAGTGTTTGTGTTTTGCCCAATCTTCCTTTGATACACATTCTCCGCAACATGAATTTTGAGCAGGATAGTCAAAGTGGACTTGCTGTTCCCTAAAACTCGTGACATATCTGCAGATGCCAAGGATCTCATTTGCAAGGTAACATTTGAAAATATTGGTTATAATCTTCTTTCTTAATAATGGATTATGTCCTTTAAGGTGATGAAGTTGAATGTATGAATTTTGTATGCAGCTGCTAGTGAAGGATTCGAGCAAGAGGATTTCTCTTGACGATATTCTGAAGCACCCATGGATTGTAAAGAATGCAGAACCTTCAGGGAGTTGCATTGAGCAGAAAGCTAGTGCCTAAGCTCCTTAGTAAGTCCATGTATGTGTTCTACTAAATGGCTAATTGAATATGCATGTTATTTTACGATGTTACTGGTCAACCTATAATCCTGTACTGTACTAAAAATCTTAGCGTGGTACATTTGCTAATCGAGATAACTATGAGTTATAAATATAACGTTCTGGATCAATTTCTAGACAATTTTTGTAGTATTTTGAATTTTGATAGCGTAGAATATATCACCTGGAAATGCAAACAACGGATTATGTAACATGCTAGGTCACCCTGTTTGAAAATTAGTTCAAACATGGTTTAATCAATTTATATAACATGCTTCAATGCCACCTTAAATTCATATTGCGGATTTCTTGATAACGACTGGGAGCTACGTTGCTCCTGGGTAGTGGGTAGAATATGTATTTTAGTCGAATTACTTTGTGATATTTTGCAGCTTCCTGTTGTTTGTTGTCTGAACTCGAAAATTCAGTTAGGCTACTCAGAAAATTGCTAGAAAATTCAGTCTTATCCCTAGTTGGGCAGGTAACCAACCCCCAACCTTGCTGCTTTGTTCAGGCATGTTCCGCCCTTCTGTAACCTGTCCTCTACGTAGAAAAATCTTTTTCCAGTCGTAGATGATGAATCGCTATTTTGGTTGTGGAGGATCGAACGTCATTTCTATTTCGCCAATCTTTCCCAAATAATGTCTGAGAATTGAACTCCCAGATGCAATGTATGAACGTGAAGGCTTAGTATGTGGTACTGATGGTTTGGTGCTATCTGTTGCCCCGGTGGCGTTGCTTGTCCTAATGAACTGCAGTTGTTTTCTCCGCAGGGCACTTCTTGCCGTTGCAAGCCGGACTGGATTTTGGCGAAGTTCTTGTTTGCCAACATGCCAAACATAGAAGAAGTGAACAGTTAGCATCATCTGTACCATAGTTTTTTCTTTTTTTGTGGCCGATTTGTACCATAGAACCTGGCCTTTCTCCAGAGAGGTTCTCTTAAGTTAACCTACTGATACTACTACTAATGCCTTCTTGGTGGTGAATCAGTGTTCTGAAATACTCCCTCCGTAAACTAATATAAGAGTGTATAGATTGAGTGTATAGATCTTATATTAGTTTACGGAGGGAGTACGATTTTAGTGCATCTCTATTGTGCCATCCAGTGCATCTGCAGCGCTACCACTGTTCTGAACTGCCGAATACTATCTTTGTTCCGCTGGTCCAAATGTCTCGCAAAATTGCAATCACAGCAGTAATCATCGCCATCCCCAGCATGGAACTGCTGACCG